TAAGACGTGAGTTCCAGGACCTAGGGAGGAGGCATTTATGGTTGTTAGGAGGAGAAGACTCTAAATGCAAGGCATTGGATGCTGATGGGAAGTGTGAAGGATGAGTACTAAGGATCTGTAGAAAGTAGCCTAACCAAATGGCAAGTGAGTTGGTCAAGGCTTGCTCAGTGCTGCCCTAGGTTGGTCATGAAGATAGGCATGCAGGTTCCTGTGTTGTGGTTAGACTGTCATTATGGTTTGTTGTTGTCAAGTCAGATACCCCATGTATGCAAAGTCAAACTCCTCCACAGGCTTTGCAAGCATATCCTTTCCGAAGCCTATCACCAAGCCTGTCTCCTGAGGCACTTCCGAGTGTGTTCAAAGTGTGCCCACCTTTTTGGCTAGTCCAGTGCTTAACTCTTTGTGCCACCCAGGGACTCTGGTTAGACAGTAGTCACTAAGTAACCCAGAATCCAAATCCCAGAAATGCTCTTTTTCATTTGGTTTGTAGGCAAAAAGAAAAACAATAATTAAAGAGAAAACTTCTGTGACTTTCAAAACCAAAGCCATTGCCATCAAGTAAATTCCAACTCACAGCGACCCCAAAGGACAGAGTAGAACTGCCCCATAGGGTTTCCAAGGTTGTAAATCTTTACAGAATCAGACTGTCTCATCTTTCTTCCGCTGAGCGGCTGATGGTTTGAAGTGCTGACCTTCTGATTGACAGCCCAGTGCTTTAACCATTGCACCACCAGAGCTCCTACCATGACTTTATTTTTTTAAAAAAAGAAATGAATATGGTCCATAGTATACATAGTTCAGCCCAGCCTCCTACCGCATGCCATTCACCAGAGCTTTCATGATGATGAACATGTTCTGACCCTGTGCTGTCCAGCCATAGGTGGATATTGAGCATTGGAAGTGTGGCCATTGTGACCAAGAAGCCAAATTTTCAGTGTGTTTAATTCTGGCTCATGTAAATTTAAATAGCCACGTGTGGCTAGTGGTTGCTTTATTAGACAGTTCCATTCTAGAAGACTCTCTAGTCTGAAGGTGTTCACAGAGAGACGGGAGGACACCATGTAATTAAGCCAAGCAACATGTCACTGTGCTACACTTAGCAAGACAAGAGTAGAGGCAACCCCCTGAGAAGACTGTCAGCAAGGCAACTTCCACCAAAGGGCCTGAGTACGTATTTCCTGCTCAGACAGCAAATATAAATAACCAGCCAGTCTACAGGATTGAAGTCATACAGTAATTAAATGAGAGAGGCCAAAGCACTTTGATTTGGGAAAGGGAAATATTACAGATTCCAGCTGATGGGCTCCACATCTGGCCCCTCACCCAGAGAGGTGTGGACTCCTGGACTGCATTGCCAGGGACTTCCTCAGCATTCACCTTGTTTGTGGTCACTACTTTATTTTTACTCAGTTCTGAAGTGGAGCCTTGGATATATCCTCTTCTGGGGGCACTTGGGACAATAAGAACCTGACAATATAGACATTGGCTGGACAAAGGCTATGTGCATGGCAGGTACCAGGGGATGACCACCCTAGCAGGATGAGCAAGCTGATGGACTAGTGTACATGCTTCAAGAGAAGCTTAGCTCCAACTGGGATCTTAAAAGCTTGCAAGCAGCCATCTAGGTGCATCGATGGGTCTCTCCTTGTCCAGAGCAAAGAAGAATGAAGAAAACCAAAGACACATGGAAACAATTAGCCCAAGGGACTGGTACACCATGCAGTCCTCAGCCTCTACAACTATGAGACCAGAAGAATTAGATGGTCCCTGGCTACCACTGCCAACCACACAGAGGGAGATCTACGTAGGAGATCCTGATAGAGAGGGAGAACAATGTGGAACAAAACTCAAAATGATTTAAAAAAAAAAAAAAAGGACCAGGTTTGCTGGTCTGATAGAGCCTGGTGGAACCCCTGAGACTATGGCCCCTAGCTGCCCTTCAGGTCTGGAATTGAACCCACTTCTGGAATTGAACAAAAGATAGGCATATGAGCTGAACATGAGGTAGATACACTCCTTGGAGAGATCAATCATGGGAGAATAGAAGGGCTATTAGGAACTCTGGTGGCGTAGTGCCTAAGGCATTTGACTGTAACCAGAAGGCTGGTGGTTCAAACCCACCAGCCACCCCTCGGAAGGATGATTGGACAATCTACTTCCGTAGCAATACCACCTTGGAAACCCAAGGAGGGGTTGCTGTTAGTCAGGAGGTCGCTATGAGTCAGATCTGACTCCACGGCAGTGAGTTTGGTTTTTTGGCTTTTACTAACAGAAATTTTGGAGGTTCAAGTCCACTCAGCAGTGCCTCAGAAGAAAGATCTGGTGACCTGTTTCCCCAAAATCAACCACTGAAAACCCTATGGAGCACAATTCTACTCCGACATGCATGGAGTCTCCTTGGGTCAGAATACATCCTTTCAATGGCAAATGATTCTTTAGTTTTTATGTATTGATTATAGTAGGGAATAGGAGCTCTGGTGGCGTAGTGCCTAAGGCACTTGACTGCCAACCAGAAGGCTGGCGGTTCAAACCCACCAGCCACTCCTCAGAAGGAAGATTGGGCAATCTACTTCTATAGAGATACTGCCTCGGAAACCCAAGGAGGGGCCGCTATGAGTTGGATCGACTCCAGGGCAGTGCCTTTTTTGGTTCTATAGTAGGGGATAGGGTGCCCTCTAGTGGCCTTACTTTGGATCCCTGTCAGTCTCAAACTGTCATCCTCTAAGAGTTGCTCAAACTTTATTTATTTTTTTACTGGATCTCACAGTGAAAAAATATATATTTTACATGACCACCCAAGTATGTATGTGTGCATACATAGATGAAGTCTCTTAAAATAATACTTATTCTCACAACATGTAGCATACTTTTGCATTGATAATTTCTATTCTTTCATAACCTACTAAAATGATTTTAAGACCCATTAAATGGGCCACAGCCCACAATGTGCAAAGAACTTCATGCCTCTAAACATTACCTTTAAGATGTCATCACCCAGCCAGCCACACCCCTATCTCCATACGCTCATTCCCACCTTCCCCTTCCTGCTCCTCTTAGGTGCCTCCTAAAGGTACGTCACCCAGGACCAGCAAGGATCTGGTGAGTCTGCTCTGTCAATCATCTACTTGCTTGTAATGAGGGGTTGTATGTCATCTCAGTCAGAAAGGAGGTAGATAGTGGAAGAGATGGATTAGGACATCTTTTACTGTAAACTCAGGAAAACTGAGAGAATCAACTCAAGGTTTCAGGATTTCCTTCATGATATGGTATTCATTTATCTCATGTATGATATTTGTGCTTTGCCTAAGTATCTTAGTGATCTTGTGATGCTGTAACAAAAAAATACCACAAGTGGGAAGGCTTTAAAGATCAGAAATTAATTTTCTCGCAGTTCAGGGGGCTAAAAGTCCTAATCAGCTGTGTCAGTTTCTCTGTGAGCCTCTCTCCTAGTTCTAGTGTCTGCAGTGTTTCTTGGTGCCTTTGGAGTTCCTTGGCATTTTTGATATCTGTCTTCTCCCTGTGTGTATCTTTGTGTTTATACTCCTCTTTTTATAAGTCAGAAGTGGTCAGATTAAGGATCCACCCTACACTGGCATGGCCTGATTAACATAACATTGAAAAAAAACAAAAAACCTATTTCTACACAGGATGGCATCCACAGGTACAAGACCCAGGAATACAACACATATTTGTTGGTGGTGGGGGAAGGTGCCACAACTCAATCCGTAGCAAGGATAACAGACAGTAAAATGAAGCAGGCCTAAGTGCCTTAGACGCGTCTCCTCTGCCTTGGTCCTCTCTGCCTCCCTGTCTGTCAAGTGGGTGGTTGGACCAGGTGGTCTCTTTCTCTTCATCTGCTTCTTACACTGACTTTCGATGATTCTGTGTGACCAAGGGGAGGGGTGGGAGTTCTGGAAGCCAGTGGTTGGAAGCACAGCAGGAAGGTGCTGGGCCGAGAGGAGATCAAAGTAAGGCTGGGACACTGGGAAAGACTGAAGCTGAGGAGAAAAGGAAGCAGCAAAGTGACAAAGCCTGCCTTTGGTGGCACCCAGTGCTGACTTGAACTGTCGACAGACAGCCCCAGTGGGGTACATGGATGGTAGTAAGTTTGTGGTTATTTAGATAGCCCTGGGGAGGCACCAAACAATGTCCCCATCCCCTCCCTGTCAGCAGCAGCCACGAGAACAGATGCCCAAACTGCCAGCCTCCAGCTCACTTACAGCAGAAAGAAATGAGGCCAAGGAAATGGGAGATGTAAGGCAGAAAAAGCAGCTGCTGTGCCTGGTGGGGAGTGGATCTGAACTGCCCAGGATGTGATATCCAGGTCTGCAAGAATGAAGTCAGCTCTTGAGTTCAGAGGTTTCCCAGGACAGAAGCTCTTCCTGTGCAATGTTGGTCCTCCTTCTCCAGCACAGACAGGCACAGTGGTTTTGGGAGCTCTGGTGGCGTAATACCTAAGGCATTTGACTGCTAAT